TTTAGGTACCTGCACGGACGTGGTGGCAGATAAATAGCCAATTAAGTAAACATTTGAACAAAAAAAAAAAAAAAATCGAAAAGCACTTAAATGCGTCGTAATAATAACAACAACAACAATAATAATAATAATAATACGCTCATCACTACCATCAATGGACGAGCGCGTTTCGCGTCGACCGCGAGCGGTTCTCTCTATAATATTATTATAATAGTATCACTGGATTGTATATTATATTGTATTGTTGTAATATAATATTATTATCACTACAATACAATATTATGTATGGTATAATATTATACGGTTGTGGCACTATTATGTTATGGGCGACTTCGATTCCACAAAATAATATAATATGATTACAACAAGTATCTTATTCTTACATGAGTACCTATACTGTTCAATGAGGAGGACGTACATCATGGAGGTGGCAAATATTATCTATTGCCGTGATAATCGTCCATTATACTTAATAATATATATGTTTTCAACGTCGAGCTGTACGAACAATAATCGCAATAATAATTATAACATTTGGGGGACGGAGTGGCCGAGTGGACTAAGGCGTCGGTTGCAATGCACACCGTAGTCGGTTCGAACCTCGGTCACGGGCGGTACTTCTCTCTCAGACATCTGTCTGGAGAGAAAGGCCTCCATCCCCCGACTGGGTATGGCAGATGCCTACGCTTGCCCAGATAAAAAATGTTGCCAAAAAAACACACACATGAACGCAAATCAACAGTATCCTCCCCCACAGTACCACAGGCTAATGACCTTAGTAGTTGAAGCCTTAACAATAATAAAATAAAAATAAAAACATTATAATAACGATTGCGAAACTCATGTCTAGCGATATTGCCAGCAGAGGAGCCAAAATTTTAAGCCAGCTAATTTTCATTCTCCGTAGACATAGAGAGACAATTTTTCTTTGTCGTTGTACATAAGTGGTTATATGTATGTGTCGCATGACTGAGTGTGAATGGTTGTGCATTAAAGATTTCAATAAACTCAAATGATTAAAATGTTTCATATTTTGCTTTTTTGATTTTGGAACCTATACTTATACAAGTTTTATAATTTATTATAAAAGAGGCACATTTAACTAATATAATATAATGAACCTAGCTTCAGGCTTAACATTAAAAAAAAAAACAGTCAACATGTGAAATTGACTGTCTTTAATGAAACAAAATTAATAATGATAAATATTTGGATTTCATATTCTATCTTTTTGAATAATACTCTTTGTTTTCCGGTAATTAGGTATTCTCCCGGAGCTATTGTTAATATAGTATCATAATATATTATTTATACATAATATATAATATATTATAACTTTATAATAACGAAAAAAAACGTTTAACGCATGCGTATCATAGGTCATCATCGACGTGTTTGGAAATTGTATGGCAGACCAATAAAAAACAGAAAAAATTATGAACGCCAATGTACACACTGTCATTCTCTAAATAACGCCTCTGGATATTGCTGCAATTGTAGGTATACGGTTTTTGAATCTTGTTATAAGTATTATTATTATATAGTAGGTGTGTCGAGATTGTCACCCTGGTTCGCCTATTCATACAATACATTTATTATATTCTAATACTTTATGTTCAGAAGTATATGTAGTCGATTATACAATATAGGTATAATATAATATATAATAGTGATGGAGTCAATTATACAATAAAACATTAATATAGAGACTAATGGAAGCAGGATTGTGTTCGACAAAAACGGTTAGAGTTGGGAATTGTTCTGCGAGCGTGGGTTGGTCACTTGCAGACCGGACGATGTGCTGCCTCTGGGGTGCAGGTTCCGGGATTAATTTTGAAAGCTAATCGATAAATCATTTAATACAACATCGAATTTTCAAAATGCATGTGTTAGTATATAAATGTTTTTTTTATGCAGCATTACTACATTAGATACCTGTTGTATTATCAGATTATTACTATTATTATAATCACAGTCTGATCTGATTATCATAATTCATAGTATGTAGATACTTTGAAAGGTTATAAGAACCAATACATAATAATGTGTTAAAAGTTTAATTTAATAATGTTTCTAATGTTTAATCTAATGTTCTTACCTAATCGTTATGTTCCCAAACCTATGCATTATGATGAGATCATAATAAAACAATACCTATAGCTAAATATAAAGAAAATAAAGAAGACTAGTAGAAACAATTGAGAACTGGTGTCTCTATATCATAAGTGATGATAGTTTTAGTCTGAAACATTTATTATTATTATATGCGATCTACATAATAACCTATACAGCATTTGGGAAATGATAATATTTTGTGAATATTTTAAAGTAATATTTGACTAATAATATTTTATAAATAATTTCTTTTCAAGGTATGACGGCACTATATAATTGCATAAAATGTTGACTTAATATTTGTATAAAGTTTCCGTAAAAATGTTTTGTAAATGATTTTAAAAAAATATTTTCAAAAATATGAACTTCTTGGCCAAAGAATATAACTGAAATATTTTTTAATTATTTACACAATTTTCTTAAGTATTTATACCGTAGTAGGAAATATTTTTATGCTGTGTGGGACAATGCGCCGCTGTAATATAATTATCAGCGTAATATTTATTTTTAATTTCATCGATTTTGTTCAAGCGTCGCGATAACTGGTCGCGATAATATTATAAATATGTTTTTTTTCTCTCAGCATTATAGGTATAAAGGTATTATTATTAATATTATTATAATGAGGTTCGGTATAAATTGCATATTGATGACGGCAACATGTGCATGTGCAATTCGATGTAGGTGCACGGTACCTATATATAGGTATATTATAATATTATTATAAGATATTATGTGCGCCGCGTCGACCTGAGTATAATTCGATTTCGAAGTGGGTGTTTCGATCCGCCGAACCGTGTGAGCTCCGACCACAACGGGTTTGCCGACTCGGCTTTCACGATGATGATCGCTGAAAACGGCGGTGTTCCGAATGGTTTGAAACCGTAAATTATATTATGCAGGTACCCACGACACGGCGACATTCGATTAAAATCTCGCCGAAGGTTAGAATTTTTGTTCCTCCCCCTCCCCCAAAACAGGGGCGGATGGCCGTCGCAATAATTATATGGTAGACACCCATTGGTCCCATAGGGGTAGGGCAGATTTTATCCACCTGTTAGGCCCAGGAAAACTATGTACGACCATGATAGTGTAAAACTATACAGCTGGTGGTGACTTTAATAGACAGTGAACACGTTTTTTTCAGATTTGATCGGAAAACTTTCACGCTCCTCAGCTCACCGGTCTGCCAATAATGACCACTGTTGTGTTCAACTATTACTGCTCTGGCTGGCCACTCTCTAATACAAGTCAACTTATATAGGGCACATTCTGGTTTATTTCAACTCCGAGATATTTAGTAATGTTGGACAAATTGCCCACCTAGTCTGGGGACTCCCTAGGGTTCTTGTGGTGCTTATGTCTTTACCACGAGTTCCTACTTTTTTTCGTTAATATTGGCCACCCGCTCTCCGATAACGTGTGCACGAACCACTCTACCGGCTTATTACCGATAAACACTAGAATGTTTGGTCCACGGTCTTAGATTTTGGTTTGTACTGTACAACAACGTCTGCCAAGGAGCTTACTCGGTTTTTCGATGTAATCAGTAATCACTTCTCTTTACTTCTCTCTCGTGTATTTATTGATATTTTATGATATCGTCAGTTTCCGTCACTTTTGCGGGGGATTTCGGATTACTGTACATATAATAAAAATGCCTCTCGTCGACGATAACCCGGAGACGGCCCGCTCAAAGACGGCCACTGCCGGAGAGACGTCGTCGTGGTCGTTGGCGGCGGCGGGCCACGGTGCGTAACGGGTCGTCCGCGGCCGTCGGTCGCGTGTGGGAGGGGGGTGGGAGAGTTCCCGCGGGGGATCCGTAAGTCGAGTCGGCGCGGCGGCGCGGCGTCGTCGATGTGTCCGTCAGATAACGTCGAGCTACGTCTACGCGCGCGCGCGGCGAACAATAGAGACGTATCGAATCGTAATTACTATTATTGAATAAATAAACGTCCGTCTATATACCTATACGTGCGCGCGCATGCACACACACACAAGCGCGCGCATAATATATTGAACGCGCCGCCGCCGCCGGGACAATGCTCTTCCGCGCGGCGGCGGTCATATGCGTACAATATTTATATACATGTGATATGTATATATATAAATTGTATACGACATGTACATACGAATACATATATATACATTGTATAGGTATATAATAGGTATTATAATATATTATACGAGCGCCGATGCTGCTGCAGGCGTCCCCGTCTTGACGTCGTGACACTGACGCGCTGCGGTCGACACCACCGCCGGCTCCGGGTACGCGATGCCATTACCTATCCTGCGCGCGCCGATATGCAAATAATAATATATTATATTATATTATTATACGCGCAGTCGCCGTCGTTAGCGTTGATTTATAATGTGCGAGCGTACGGAGCGTTTTTTTTTTTTATTTTAAGGTCGTACCTAGCTGTATTATACCTACATGTAGTAGTTATACCGTTTAAAGAACAAAAGCCGGTGATGAAATGGTATAGAGGAAAAAATTGCGCTGCACCAGTTACCCGAGATGCTTCACCATCAACACCCAGTTTTTTTTCTTTTTCTTCCCGCTCAAAATAAAACAAGGAACCGATGGGAACTGCTTACCACAATAGTGCCTCCCGACACCCCTATTGTTTATTCATAAACTTTTAAATACGTTATACATAGATGGTTGCCTCTAGCCGCCCTGAATATAGTTGGCCCCTGGCCCACAGCATGAACCACATTAAACCTAACCGACTATACCTCTTGCCTGTCTGCAGCCTCTTTCTGCCCGAGTGTCGTCTCCGCATCATCATCCTAGTATCCTACCAAACTCCAGCCACTGTGTTTCTGCCGATGCTTCAATCCGCCGTCTGTTCGGGAGGAGCTTTTGCTGTGGCCCCAAAATGATATCAGTGCAATCGTTCCAGACCTATGCATTTCACCATCTTGCGCCTACCATGCATCCGCCTAGCACGGACATCGTATGTTCCACGGTATCCTCCGGTGGTAGCACTGGCAGTGGGCATCAACTACATTCCTTCTTTTCCGCAAGTAGTGCTGGTAACATCCGTGTCCCGGCAATGCTCGGTCAATGTGAAAAGTCATGGTTCCGAACTTTGAATGATTCACATATCTCCATAGTATATCTGGAATCATTATTCGTCATGTGATTCCGTAGGCCTTGCCATTCGCGCAGTGTTTCCACACATTCTTGCTTCCTGATTATACCAAGATATTAAGATATTATGATTTATGACGTGATGTCTCATAATGGGTATTCAAAAATTAGATTTTACAACGTTATAAATAATAGAATTTAAGAAGAATTTAAGAATACCTACTACAGTTTTCAATGTTCATAAAGTTTTAATTTAAAAATCCTTAGTAGATGTGGCGTCATGGTCTCAGATGACGTATAGCTTGTATAAATAATAATATTATACGATTTATTAAAAAATTAATTTAAATAATATGGTCCATTTGCATGTATATCTGGTTGCTATTAAAATCGACTATGTCAAATTAATGTAGGCATATAAGAAAATACACTGCATAAGCATCCGTTGCGTATCATCTAAATATTCAACAATACCTGACGGTTACAACATTTTAAATGTATGCGTAATTATTTCGTATTACGTAGTATTGCCATCCGTCAAGAAGAAAATTATTGACAAATTGTCTGTGACCATTCGAATAGTTTTTTATTTACCTATTTGTCTTACTAAAAGTTTTAGTAAATAAGTACAACCATGTAGGTATTATCCTAGTAAACTCAATGTTTTTTTTGTTTTTAGCTAGATCTTAAGACTAAAGGTTTAAGTGTTAAGTATAAAAATATTATATGTATTACCTATTATATGTATTAAATACCTATGTATTTAAGGTAAAAGTTAAGAGATAATTTGTTGTTGTTGTTTTAATTCGTTAATGCCTGCAGCATCGCATAATAGTATGTAAGAACCTATTATTAAAGTCAGTATTCACATTTACATTAAATCACTTTTACAAAAACTAACAAAAAGTATTTATGTGTAATTGTTCAAATGATACAAAACCCTAAGGTATAACAAATACAGATTGGAATTTGGAAACATTATACTATTATAGTCTTATTGTTCTTTAGGTATTATTTTGATACGCCAACGAAATACCAACAATTTTTACCAACTTTTTTACCACCTATGATTTCATCAGACGTTTTGCAGATGGCAAAAATAATATGACGTATAATATTATTCTGCACACGCGAATAAACCGATCATTGTAAATCCATAAGTCAAAACACGTAACTAAAGTCCTTTGGTGCGACGGCGTCTTCGACCTGTTGAGCGGAAAGCTTGTGTATTATATTATAGTTGTACCTATATATATAGTGTATATGTGTGTGTGTGTGTGTAAAAGTAAAACTATTTACGCCGAGTCAATTAATATATTATTATTATATTCTACCGTAAGGTGGCCGTGGGGCTTTTCTCACGAGAACGGGTCGTCGTCGTCGTCGTCGTCATAGCAGTCGTCGACGGTGCGGGGCAAGTACACGAGCGCGCGCGCGATTCGTATATAATATGTATGGTATATACCTAGGTATATAGGTATACCTGTATTGTATATTATATACTTGGGTAATATACGCGCGATCGTTGCACACATACGTCGGCGGCGGTATCACGTACTATTATTATTATTATTATTATTATACACACACTCGCGTATTCGTAAAAAAAAAAATATATTTAATAATATATATATATACCTACGTATGTGTAATGTTATTATTTTATACGACTTATATTACGATATTATATATACAATATACATACCTTACCTACCGACACCGACGCCGCGGCCGCCCGCGAGTTGATGTGTTTATTAATATCTGTACATAATATAATAATAATATTATTATAATACGTATATATAATATGAGCACACGCACGCGCTTAAGATATCGAATGGGTGTTATTAAAACCATTAGCGGCCGTGCCCCTCCGCTACCTTTCCACCGCACAGTCAACTGCCGCCGCCGCCGGTGGTCGTATTCCTGTGTGTGTGTATATATATGTACACGTATGTATATTACCCTAGCAACGCATATGTGTGTGTGTGTGTGTGTGTTTGTGTGTGTGCGTATATTATAATACACTTCCCCTTTACACACGATAATAATAATAATAATAATAATAATAATAATGATATCCTCTCGGCTCCGACACGTATTTTTTTTCCCGACTATTGTGACAGCTAATTTCGGTCGGATGATTCGGCTACAGCGGCGGCGATATATTACACGCCTCGGCCGCACCGACTAACCGTTCTACATAATATCCGTCAATCTATATTATATAATAATATGTAGCTGGTAGGTATGTCTAGCTCGGTCTGCAGTTTTGGACGATGGGTCGTACATTACACCGGATGCCTAACATACCTACTAGAAAGTCTGTAGAAAGCGGCTGAATTTTTGTACCCGCGCGGATGGATCCGTTCGGAAAACTGTCATCGTTTTGCACGTCCACAGTGACATTATTGCTACATCATATACACTAATGTCGTGTACACACGCATCAATCGATCAGATAGAAAATTCATTTTGAATTTCAGTAGCACACTAATCGCACAACGGGGACGCTTCAGGTTACATATATACTCTTCCGTATAACTGCTTTCCCGACTATACCAGAATTCGGGAAAAACAATAAATATTCGTATATAATATTCTATAATGCGTATTCGCCTGTCTCTATACATTGTGAAAAAAACGCTCATGATGGTTATTAAGTGGTTTGCAGAATCATTTCCGCGGTTCGAAAAATGCGCGGAGGGCACAATGCACAGAAACGATGATTGACAAACAAATAATCGTGAAAATTCTGTGAGGATGTAGAAAATTCACGAAAATACGACAAGCTATTTTTTTTTCAATTAGCCGCACGTGCGGGGCCGTTCGAGCCAATGTTGCAGTTACCGCCGTTTAGGTTATTATCACAATATGATTAAAGGGGTGACTGGGACGAGTCAACGAATTGCGGTAAAAGGGTAGTCGGGTGAACTTGAGTCCTTGACACAGTAGGTAATCTCATACCTATATACGATATTATAATAGAAATCGATCTTTAAATAATAATCCAACGCCGTCCTAAATACGTTGCAGGTTACCCCCCCATAAACTTGACGCCTTTCACTGTATGAATATAATATTATAACATACCTATTTATACATATTTTTTTTTCCTCATAGCGAAAATGATTATAATTTTCTACATGCGATTGGCTCGGCGGCTGTTACTATGTTATAGGCACCTACACTTAATTTTAAACGAATTATGTGTTTATAAGTGCTTTATAATCACATAATGTGCGCTATCTCGCATCCAACAATTATATCCATATTATATATTATGACGTTATATATTGCGTATAGCGTACCCTGTTGTACATTGTGTGTAATTATGCTCAACGGTTTAATATATTATTATTATATTATATTAGGTCTCTGCAGTATGCACATTTATCAATATACAGTCGTTGCAGATGCCTGAGCGGAAGAACCGTCGTCGCAATAATTAAGTATAATAATGTACATAATGTGTGTAATAATAATATTATATAATATGATTCGCGAATAAGAGGCACAGCATGTCTCCCATGCTCGATAGACTGCCTTGTTTATTTAAAAATGTATACATTTGTACATAATATTGGAAATAGCCGACAACCTCCGAGAAGCATATAAGGCATTGACCCAGACATCATCAAATCTATTTTCAAATTCATTCAATTATCAGCAAACTGTACAACCTAATTATTATCATAAGATATAACGATTTGAATTTTTTATACGGTGGAATACATTTATAAACAATGATGCCCAGCATATATTTCACCCATACCTTTCCTGCACTCTTTATCCCCTTAATATAATGTATAGTACATATAATTATTATGTGACTGTAGATATTTTAATTATAATTTCATGTTATTGGTTACCATAATATGTGTTCAAATTGTTCAATCACCCCTCCCTCCGAAAAAAATGTCACCATGACGCCATAAAACCCCGTTCCATACGCCACTGATGACGGGTACAACGTACGACCGCGTTGGCCCGATAAATAGGGATATTATAATAAAGTATAATAAAAATGTAATAAAATTCCATATAATATACTCGGACAGTTTGTATAGGCGCTCGTTTATGCGTCATCAGTACCCATATGTCCTATACCGGCCATGTACCTACATTATGAGTATATATATATGTACGGGTGTACAATATATATATCGACAAACGACGATTTCGTGCGTATTGAACGGATACCTGTTATATATTTCGTTACAGATGTATATATATATATCTATACATCGACGTACGATTATGATCTGGTTTATGGGAAGCGGCGTTTTTTTTTTGTGTGACATTACCCATACACACACTTTTGGTACGACATATATATAATAATATTATATATGATGGGATCCGAGGGCCATAGGTACATAAGACTCTCTTTCTCTGATATACATAATATTATATACATAGATGTTCATATATGTGTTTGTAAGTACGCACGCGCTCTCATACACACAAACACGTCGCGACGTGGACGTATATAATATACATAATAATAATATGTATATGTGTGCAGTGCGTATAAATTCGATTTTCAAAAAGAAAAGCCGCCCGGGAGAGTATTAACTATATAATATATTATTTTATTTGTCCCTTTTTTTCCTTTCTACTTTTTATCTCACTCTCTCTCTCTCCCTCGTTTGGAGGGTAGGTCACGTCGACGCGGCGAGTCGTACAAAGGGACACACGCTCGCTACCTAAACCTGCACGTTATGATGATGGACACGAACGGTCGTATACGAATTTCTCTTGGAACAAGCTGCGGCAATAACAATAATCGTTTAATATTATGCCGAACCGTTGTCCGAAAAGGAAAATAATATTACATATAGTGTCGCAAGCATTATGCGCCTTGTGCAGGCGGCGGGTGGACTCGTCGTCAAAAATTATTATACTGTTATTGTTGTTGGGCGCATTATCCATCGTTTTACCACTGCACGAAATATCGTCAGGCTCCCATAAACTGCATGCTCGGCGCTTGAGCCGGCCGATTAAAGACGATCATCGTCGCCAAACCGACGAAAGGTTAGGTGGTGAAAC